GTGCACAATTTAGTGTAGCCAAACATACGGAAATATTTAACAGCCAATTAACTTTGATCAAGATGAGTGCGATTGGAATCTCCCCATCACTCGAATGTCTCGGGCAGCACAAACATTTTCTTTCTCCCTGGTTCTCGTGGCAGGAAAAGCAGAGCAAGGCCGTTGACTAATGAGACTTGGCAGGCTCGCAACAGTTCTCCTCACACTTAAGTATCAAACAAAACATTTCCTCCTCTGCGGGGTCAGCCATGAGTAGGACACAGAGGAAAATCAATGGGCCAGTGGTGTCGGGTTCTGGGGATGAGGGAAAGTGGCTCACCAGCGGTGTCTGGGCTCAGTTCAGTTAGATCTGGTCTGGTCTGCAAAGTCTGCTACTTAAAAGCCTAGTTTAGTCAAAAACGGAAATTCTTTTAGCGTTTCTTCACCCTCGTGTCGTTTCAAACCTGTATGATTTTAATTCTTCAGTTGAACACAAAAGAAGATATTTTTAAGAATGTTCAAGCTGCTCTATTTCATGCAATTACAATGAATTTGGACAAAGGTTTCAAAAAGGAGGCAAAGAATCATAAAAGTTGTGCATGACTTAGTTTCTATATTCCAAGTCAAACGATTGCTTTGTGTGGGACTGAATTTATTATTATTATTATTCACTGATAATCTTCCACTGCAAATGGAATCAGTGAGTTTAACCCTGTAAAGCCTGACATATAAAATAATAATAGTCTTTTTAAATGGCTGTTCAATAAACATTTAGACAACAAAAAAAGTTAGAATTTATGTTTTGTATCATATTTAATAAATCAGGCTTTTATGGCTCATATATTACATAGTGAGAATATGAAACTCATACTCAAGGAAGTAGAAGAAAAAAAAAACACCTCCAATTTTATTCAGAGGCCCAAACTGAGCAAAAATATACAATTTGGTGCATCTGCTGATATTTGTATGGCCAAAAAGTAAGAAAGTATGAAATTCTGATTATAATTATAATATAATAATTATTAATATTAATTAATATTATTAATAATTAATATGATTAGAATTATATTAAAAGGCCTTTTACTTGCTAAAAAAGTATAAACTACCAATCACACAACAGGTTTTTCAGCAAAGTTTAGATCCTGTTGATAATTTTGTCTTAGAAATTTGCATATCAAAAATGATACAGAACCAGATCTATTCTTTTTGTGAACGAATCATTCAGAACAGTTTCTGAAACGAATCAACTGATTAATTTAATAGATTTCCAGTGAATAACAACTTCAATTTTAGTCTTTTTCTAACACAAAGCTATGGGATAACTTCAAAAGACTTGAAATAAGAAAGAAAGTCAGGTGAATAAATGATGACAAATTTTTTTATTTTTGGGTTAACCGGCTTTTAAGGGTTTGTGGATTTGTTGAATTATTTCACAGTCCATATTTTCAGACCTGAAGCTATTTTAACAAGCCATATCACTGATCTGTTCAAATCACTAAATGAAGTGCTAGCTCAAGCAATACCAGATCTGGTCAAACGTAACTTCACTGCTATGAACTCGTGGAGCGCTGCCAATCACGAGCAGAAGTGTCCCTACCGGTCTCATTTTCACCCTTCACCAGGCGGGGCAGACAGACACCTAGATACGCTCTCAGTAACTGCCCCCGGGGGCAGATTTTACACTGATCCAACATGAATCAGGCAAAGCGGGCAGAGCAGCCGTTTTCAGACCGTGACAGAGAGTCTGCGGCCGGAGTGGACAGAGACACCGAGCACACAGCATGACATGCAGACAGTCAGAGCACGTACAGAAATATTAGA